TCGTCACTATTTGATTCTGTTGATGGCAGAGGGGTGTCTGCAAGTGCAAGTCTCAATCTGAAAGTAAATTTTAAATTTTCACAGTTCTGACTCCATCACTACATGTTTTGTTTAAGTAGTTGTCATAGGGATTAAAGAAATCAAAAGAAATCAATGTTATGGCATCTTGCAAAAGTTATACATCAGAGTTCAAGTCTGAATTATTCTATCAACATAATTTTGTATGCATTATTAAAATATCAATATCCAAACGAAGAAAATTTTGCACTCAGAACAATAAAAATTTTGATCATTTCACCAAGTTTCTGATTTTTTCACTTATTTTTGGATGATGATTTTAAAATGCTTAAATTTTCTTTCATATACTATCATAAAGTAGCATTTTTGTTTAAAATCGAAAACTAGAATTAAAAGGGTAAATATATTTATTTTTCATTCTTAAGATATGAAGACTATTGATTATCTTTATATGCACCTGGGTTAACCAGCCAACAAGTAGTGTAAGGTATATATATAAGGCACTTGAAAAAAATTGATAATTGTTAAGAGTGGGCCTCATTGGGGTCTAAGCATGACGCGGGATTGCCAATTTTCTGTAAGCGTGACACGTGAAAGTCAAATTATTGTGCCGTGAAAACGGGAAATGAAGTCTAGCGGGACACGGGAAATTACAAAAAAATGAGAATTGCTTACGTACATAGTGTAAGGGGGATACGGGAATCTGACAAAACAGAAAGCGGGATCAGAACCCCCCAATGAGACCCCCTTAAGATTACTATGGATTCATGGGATAACAATCTTCGTGGATTTCAAGAGTAAAGATTAACAATGAATTTAAATCCTCAACGAAGTACAAATTTTCTACAGGCTTGTACACAAGACTTTGACAAATCCACCAAACATAATTTTTCCTCAATCTACGAAGAATTGGTACCCACAAAAAATAAATGAATCCACACAGTACAGAAGAACTATACCATAAACTGAACACATTCTTTATCTACCGGCCCCAAGCCAGGAACATGTAGTCCACTCATAATTGATTTTTCTTTAATGTATTGAGCTTAAAATCAGACTGTTAGTGTTTTTCTGTTGTATTGTTTCAAATTTTGTTATCTGTGGCCTTTTATAGCTTTAAATGTGGAGCAGGATCTGCTTACCCTTTGGGAGCCACTGAGATCACCCTCAGTCTTTAGTTTTCTATGTTGTGTTTTGTAGGCTGTTGCTCGTCTTTCGGTTGTTTTTTGTTTTTTGTAATGGCAATTTGTCAGTTCGTTTTTAGACTTAAAAGTTTGACTTCATCCCTTATTTGGTATCTTTCGCCTCTCTTTTAAAATGGAAAGGGTTTTGCTCATTGTTGAAGGCAGTACATGTACAGTATCCTGAGGTTGTTCAAATACTTGTTCTATGGTCTATTTGGTGGATAGTTGTGTCATTGCCAATCATACCACATCTCCATCTTTTTATATTATAAAGAAATATATTCCATATACTGTACTTAAAATCAAAATGTTTTTTTTTTATAAACACAAATGTGACAGCAACACAAGAACATTAGTTATCAAATAAAACAACATCTGATATCATCATTATAGGCGACTAAAGTTGATGTGTATTTAAAGTGATCTAAAAGTTATCTACATGTGATAGCACATCAAAATAGCTAAGGCCATAAAAAAGTAAATGTTTGTTTGCCCTAACCTGACCTACCCAGAAAATAGCTGCCTACTTAAAATCTTTTATTGTCCTGATGTAAAAAAAATTTTTTTTATAATCAGATAGGTATGAAGACTAAAAACATCCGACACTACAATTTCTCTTTGTCGGAAAAAAAAGAAAAAGAAAATGCCTACCTACCTACCCATTGTCTCTACCTTAGGGGTAGGGTTTGGGCAAACCAAAATATTTTTAAGTGTGGCCTAATTATTACATGTTGATTTATCATCCTTTGACTGAGGTACACTATTTTTTTCTTTCCATTTCCTTAAAACCTAGATATTCAAACTTTTGTTTCCTAAAAATATATATGAATCTCTGTCTAAATAGGAAAAAACACTTATAACAAGGAATTATTTGAATCTGGAATAATTATGAATTCTGGAAAATTGATTAGAAATGTATGATGAAAACTAACCCAACTAAATAGGGTTAGCCATGCGCGCATGGCTAAGGTTAATTTTAATTTCACTATCATTTCAGTATGAACTAACTAACCCCCCTTAGCCATGCACGCATGGCTAACCCTATTTAGTTGGGTTAGTTTTCATCATAAATTAATCATCAATTTTCCAGAATTCAAAATTATTCCAGATCCAAATAATTCCTTGTTTTATAACATATAAGTAATGTATCAAATAGAAAATGATGTATTCCTGAGTTCACATTCACTGTACATGTATCAGACTAATAAACATTAATTTAACATGTAAACTATGCAAAACATTTAGGGTCAATGATCAAAACATGCCTGAATGTGCACGGCCAAATAATTTTAGTTGAAATAAGACATGACAATGCTTATACAACTGCATACCAAATTATATCATTGATTTATCATAGGATTCCATTAAATTGACCTAATCACAAACTTGAACAAATTGTTGAAACAGCTCCCTACCCTGGAAACAGCAAGTCTTAATTCCTGACTCTACAACTTGGGATAGGAGAAAAAAACGCAACTTTCAAAGATGAAACTCAAAACATATTTTTAGTTTCAATAAATGTAATAAACATATATAAACAGTGTAAATCATATTTTATTTATCCATATATAGTTAGTTACCTTGACTTTCTCTTCTCTTTTTCTGTCAATATAGTCACTTCTTCATAGGGTCTTATTTCTTTTTATCTAATGGTATCACAGCCTTGTCCACTGCTAACACAGGTTCATTTAATTAAAATTAACTTCCAGTGATTCCAAACTATATTTGTCTTCATTGGGGCATTTGGTCTAACATGCAATATTTCTTTGAGCAAATTGTACATTACAGGATTTATTTATATATATATATAAAGAATTCTCAAAGATCTAATTAGTCCATATAATTTGGTCTAGCAAAACACAAATCTATGATCAGGAACAATAAATCATCATCATTAATAGGTTCAATTAACTAATATGGGCAATAGTGCATAAATACCAAATTTATAGGACTGTATTGGATGAAGAAGATTTAAGTTTCTGATGAATACAGCAGATCCAAAGGGTTGTTTCCAGAGAAATGGGCCATTTTCATTTAGCTCTAGTTTTACAAAAATATCTTCATAAAAGGTGAAAAAATGTTCCAGCCCTTTCTTGAAAACGTGAAGCAGTTCAGGTAATCCCTTTACTAATTTAGGTACAATTTTAAAGCCTAATAGCATGAATAAAAATGATATGAAAGTCAAAATTAATTACCATTCTAATGTGTTCACATAAGTGCAACTTTGAAGTAAAAGCTATGATATAGATGTGTTGTCTACATTAAAGGAAAAAATATTTACAGTATCTTTATTTAAAGCCCTGACATATACATTTTTTACATTATACATCCAAAACCAATATTTCTATGTCATGTATGACTTGCGACAAGACACTTTTCAGTTTTTGTAACAAGAAGATTGCACTAAAATGTCTTGCCTGTATAGTATTTACTTATTGCTGATTGTACGACACACCAAATATATATATATTAAATGTCTATATATATATCTTATATTTTTCTTAAGTTTTAAATTGAACTAATATCAGAGGCACAAGAGAGTGGTGCCAGGAGACACTTAAGGTTCATGTGGACCCTTCGGCTAAAACGGTTGCGTTTTCACCTCAAATAGATATAAGAAGATGTGGTATGAGTGCCAATGAGACAACTCTCCATCCAAGTAAAAATTTATAAAAGTAAACCATTATAGGTCACAGTACGGTCTTCAACACGGAGCAAGTTGGCTCACACCGAACAGTAAGCTATAAAGGGCCCCAAAAAATTACTAATGTAAAACCATTCAAACGGGAAAACCAACGGTCTAATCTATATAAAAAACGAGAAACGAGAAACGAGAATCACTTATGAACCACATCAACAAACGACAACTTAACTGAACATCAGATTCCTGACTCAAAATTTACTCTAAGTACAGACAAACCTGTGCATCTGGAAAAGTTTTAAGGCATAGCATGCCCTAGATAAATAAAATTCATTGCATTGTATGTTTTAGAAAATTTAAAACTTAACTGGATTTTGCAGTGCACTTTTTTTCGTCCCTTCAGAAGATGATAAAATTAACAAACAGTTGAGTTTCACTTGATATGGTCCACTCAGGTACACAGTTTAAATCAGAGGCGGATTTAGGGGGGTTCAAGGGGCCCGGGCTCCCCCTTTTGAGGGAAAAATTTGGTTGATTATATAGGGAATCACTGAAGCATGACTGGAGCGGGCCCCCTGACTTATGTAAATTTCTGGATTCGCCACTGTAAATCACCAATTATTGTCAGGTATCTATTGTCCATCTATTGTCAATGTCAATCAATACAGTTCACTTCAATTATTACCTGTGGGGAAGTTCTCAAACCTCTTTCACAACTTGGTTTATTTGGCACCTTCTGGAGGAATGAAAAAAAGTGCTTAGGCAAAATCCTGAAGTTTTTAATTTTCTAATACATAAAATGTATTTGAATTTGATTTATCTAGGGCATGATATGCCTTATTAAAAACTTTTCAAGATACACAGGTTTGTCTGACAGTCTGTACTCTGAGTAAATTTTGAGGTGAAAATGCAGCCATATTAGCCAAATTGTCCACATGAACCTTAAAAATAGACTAGATTAGCAGCATCCTTCTCCCCTAGATCAGTATCACAGGCACTTGTTTCATGTGATGGTAAAAGCTCCCTAGGAGGGGACCCTTACCATCCCATGAACTGATGAATAAAGCACCTGTGATCATGGTGATCAGTATTTATTAATACTTATATGTTTGCCATTAATAAGAGTAGCTAGTGCAATAAACATTATGTAAAGTTACCTTTCCCTGGCATTACTAGTTGTTTCCTTCTGATTTGATGGAGTGTGTTTAGTACCAGAACACCCCAATTCAATGAGATATTTTCTATACATCTCTAATACTCTATGTCTATACGCAAGGATTTGTATACAAATCCTTGACGTAACCAAAGATGTATATATAAATCATATGTAAAAAAAAAGGTTGTGCTTGCTTTAAACAACTGTCCAGTTTCGTTTGTTGCTTTTTTCAATTTTCAAATTAAACTTAGTATCATGAATACACTTAAGACACTTGGAAATATTTTTTCTTCAATTTTATGTTAGTATTAAGATTAAAAACATATTGTGAGAAAACATTTGAAGAAACATTTAGTTTATCGAGAAGGCGTATGCCAACAGGTGATTGTAATTACAAACAAGCAGCCCCAATATTTGTTTACACAACCGTAACGACAGTATAAACAGCACTAGTCCAAATAATTGACCGTCCGTTCAAGGGCTGTATAATGTATAGCCAATCAAGGTCGTTAAAAACTTCCATATATATATATTGATAATTTGTTTGACTACAGGCGCTTTAAGTTGAAATTTGATTAGACGACATTTATGGCAAGCCAAAGTGGACAAAAAGAGCTATTTTCTAATATTAAAAAATCATTTTCTTATATTAGAAAATCATTTTTTAATATTAAAAAATCATTTTCTAATATAAGAAATTCATTTTTCAATATAAGAACATGATGTTTTAGTATTAAAAAGAAAATCACTATTTCTTAATATTAAAAAATGAATTTCTAATATTAGAAAATGAATTTCTAATATAAGAAAATGAATTTCTAATATTAGAAAATGAATTTCTAATATTAGAAAATCAATTTGTAATATTAAAAAATCATTTATTAATATTAGAAATTCCTTTTTTAATATTACAAATTTGAAAGTATTTTCTTATATTCGAAATTCATTTTCTAATATTAATAAATGATTTTTTAATATTACAAATTCATTTTTTAATATTAAGAAATCATTTTTTAATATTAGAAATTAAAATCTTCATCACCAAAGAGTTTTGACTTGTTTATTTTTATTATTTATATTCAATTACCCCTCCCTGTTTACAAACGGAATTAAAAAAAAATGTCTGAAAGAAAGAATGAACTGAATCAGATTTTGCTAAGCATTGACGGGGCAGCTAAGAAGTTGAAACCCTGATTAGAGATGCCTCAACTAAACTGGAAAATGGAAGAGCAGAATTAGATGAGGAAACCGTTGAACAGCTTCAATCGTCACTGGTATCCATGTCAAGACTTTCCAGAGACATGAGGAATGTTCCTGTAAATTCTGGCTACAAAGCTGATAGACCTAAGACATTTATGGAATATGCAATATAGACCGAATTTGCCTTCCTTAAATAATTTTGCTTTAATACAATGTCAAATTTGATGTAAAGCCAATTTCCCCTGATCACTTTTTTTTCACAGAAGCGTCAATTTCAAAAAGTGCTGAAAGAAGAAAAAATAGGATTAAAACCAGGAATAAAAATGTTTTTGATCTATAGCTCGATTTTATATCAAATGATATGTCTGAAAAATAATTAGTTTAACCCCCCAAAAAAGATGAAAGTCAAATAAATTATTATGCGGAATGTGCCGTGTTTTTATGTAGGAAAACAGGGAATCCTTTATATGATTTTTGTTGTTGTTGTAATTTATACAACTTCTTTCCTCAAAATTGAAATAGGTTTGTTGTGTCCTTAACACATAAAAAAACAACTTTTTATAAAAAAAAAAAGTGGAACGTCACTAAATTGTAACCACCATCTCTTACATAGTCTCCGTAACTTCATCGATAGTGCATATATATATATATTTATTAAGAAACTACCCCTTTACAACGGGGGCACTTGCAGGCATGGTACCTACAAATGCGTCTAAGAGCATATACAATGAATAATGTACAATGAAATAAAATACACATAGGACAATATCATAGTTAAAAATTGATTCTCTAAAACAAGTCAACTTTCATGTAGAACATAACAGCATAGAACTGATAATAAATAGATTGTTATTAAAAAGGGGTTTTTATTAAGAAGGGGTTCAAATCTCACGCTGATTTTTTGCATTTATTTGTGTTGAAATATTAAATTGTAATGTTTCTATCATATTTTTTCGGATGTTTGTTTACTTCATAGTCATTATGGATCATTTTGACTATATATCATTTCGTTAAAGAAAAAAGAAAATTAATGTGTTGCTTATTGTTTGCGTTCCGCCGGATTAATATCCATACTCTTGACTTATTTCCTATTCCTGTCTTTACATTTATTATATATATATATATATAGAATAGAATAGAATATTTATATTTACCAAATTAGAGCCCCAGGAGGGCATATAGCATACAAACAATATTATTATAAACAATAACATATGCAATACACAGACAATAGATATGTAACCTGTGTTATAAAAACAATAAAATAGAATAATATACTACAGAAAATACACTCAACAAAATAGTAGCAATGTATTATTATTCAATGAATACTATGTTGACATTGACTCAAGTGCACCCGGTAAGTGTATTTTCACTTTGAAAGACAAACAAGAGGCATTAGTAGTTTGTGCGGAGAAATCTCAATATATATGCGGTATCCCGAACTGTGGGATGCTGTGCCCATTATAGCTACGATATTGTACATGTACATTTTTACATGATACATAAACATGATATAAAACAACTTAAAAAATTAGGAATGGAAATATTTTTCGATATGTTTTATCATGCATGAATTCTTTTTTATTGTAGGAGATATTCTTCTACATGACCCCGAGTGTCCTTGTACTAGAGTTAAAGAAAATTTTAACTTTCAATGAATAAATTGCAAAATTGGAATTTCTATTGCTGCTTAAGGTAAGAATTTGCCTACAGAGTTAACTGTTCATGACTTCGCTTACATGTAAAAAAGAAATGTACAGGCCTGTAGCTAGGAATTTTCAAAGAGGTCGGTGTGGACTGGCGACAAACAAAAATTTAAATCTCAACTTTAATAGACTATATATAGTGCTTATTAGGTTCCAAAGGGGGGTTCGTAAGAACCCTTGGACCCCCCTGGCTAAGGGCCTGATATATGTAGTATGTTAATGCATATACACACTGCATTCTTCATAAATGTTTTTGACACTTGTCTTTTTTCCAAAACCAAAGTAGAGTCAGGTGAGCGACACAGGCTTTTGAGAGCCTCTAGTTATATATATCCATGTACATAGGTATGTCCAGAATTTTTGGGGGGAATGTATATATGTACGTACCAAACTAGATTTACTAGATGATAATAAATAGTTTTAAAGCAAATTACATTGCATTGATTTGATGGTGTTGTTAAATGTATCCTTGTTTGAATGAAGATTTGGCAAACAGGATGAACTACATATATTTTATCTAAAATTTTACTTGATAACATTTTTGTTCGCTTTGGAGATTCCGTATATCGTCAAGTTATCGGAATTCCAATGGGGACTCACTGTGCACCACTTATTGCGGACCTGTTTTTGTATTGTTATGAGTTACTATTTATGACTAAAATCAGCAAAGACCCATCGAAACAACATCTGATACAAAAAATTAACAATACTATTAGATATTTGGATGATATATTGGCTCTCAATAATGACGACTTCAGTATGTATACTAAAGAAATTTATCCTGGTGAACTTACTTTAAATAAAGCTAATACTAACAATGACCGCTGTCCCTTCCTCGATCTTGATATCTATATCATTAACGGGAAGCTTAATACAAAAATTTATGATAAAAGAGATGATGTTTCATTTCCTATCGTTAATTATCCATTTTTAGATGGTGACGTTCCCTTGTCACCATCTTATGGTGTTTATATATCTCAACTTGTACGATTCGCTCGTGTATGTAACAACGTATTAGATTTTAGCGAGAGAAATTTATGTATTACTGAAAAATTATTACACCAGGGTTTTCGATATCATAAACTAGTCAAAACATTTACTAAATTTTATCATCGGTATAAGGACATCATTCGTAAATATAACTCAACATGCAGACATCTTATACTTTCGGGTATTTCACATCCAATCTTTTATTGTAATATTTTGTACAAAGCACAAAAATGTCAGTATTCACATCAAAAGCTAATAAAACCTTTAAACAGACTTATTAAGAAGGGATATAGTTACGATACTGTTGTCAGGTCATTAAAGATTGCATATTTTGGCTTTAATATTGATTCACTTATAGGGTCTTTGCATCGGAATTAAACATATTTATTCTTAAACCAGTTGTTGGCATGACACGGGTTATGTTCTTCTCATATATTTTATGATGGTATAATACTAAACCCCTAACAGGAGGGATTGTGCCTGATATTCATATGATGAAGACATAATCTTTCAATCAGTTTAATTGAGGTCTGGAGCTGGAATGTCAGTAACTGCTAGTAGTCTGTTGTTATTTATGTATTATTGTCATTTTGTTTATTTGCTTTTGTTTCCTATTCTGACATCGGACTCGGACTTCTCTTAAACTGAGTTTTACTGTGCGTACTGTTGTAAGTTTGTTTTTTCTACATTGGCTAGAGGTATAGGGGGAGGGTTGAGATCTCAAAAAACATGTTTAACCCCGCCGCATTTTTGCGCCTGTCCCAAGTCAGGAGCCTCTGGCCTTTGTTAGTCTTGTATCATTTTTAATTTTAATTTCTTGTGTATAATTTGGAGTTTAGTATGACGTCCAATATCACTGAACTAGTATACATATTTGTTTAGGGGCCAGCTGAAAGACGCCTCCGGGTGCGGGAGTTTCTCGCTGCATTGAAGACCCATTGGTGGCCTTCGGCTGTTGTCTGCTCTATGGTCGGGTTGTTGTCTCTTTGACACATTCCCCATTTCCATTCTCAATTTTACTTTTATGTGAATTAAAAGAGCTATAAACGATAGCGTTTTAAATAGAATATATATGAGAAGATAGCTCTTATGTGCTATCCGAGAGCCAAAAAAAAAGAATCCCCGTACTCGTTTAATTTCTTACATAATCACAAAATAGGTAAATTTATTGTAAATTCCTTTACGGAGAAATAAATTTTCTGAATTATTCGACT